TATGCTATTTAAGTGATATATATGTGTGTGTGTGTGTGTGTGTGTGTGTATATATATATATATATATATATATATGGTTTAGAAAATATTACATTATCTGTCATTGTCTGTATTTAGTCATTTTTACAGTATCCCAGTATTTGTAATTAATTCAGCTAAATGAATGTCTTAAATTAATTTGGCATGAAATATCTCAAAAGCTACATAATCCTTTTCAGCACTTTGAAAAGTAGTGATCTGAAATTTTGATTCAAAATAAAAAAAAGGTGCATATTAGCGTTATTTGGACATTATATTGCTATATGAGGCCACTGCAAGACTGTTAAAAAGCACAGCAAATATTTTGTGAGAAAACTGCCAATGCTTCTTATGGTTGGTGCTCTATATTTGGAGTCTGATAGCTCTGAAATGGAGAGAGGATGGGGCATTCAGCATGAAATCTAGAGCTAGCATAAGTGCTAGAACGACCATACTGCCTCAGCTGGAATAATGAAGATCAGCACCACGGACAGCAACTACACTTATAAATGTATAACTCTCACAACACAGTGTGAGTAGATTGAATCCAGTGCACTGTGTACTTCATCATAAAGTAACAAATTTAGCTTGTATATGGTCGTAAAGCAATAATGCATCTTCCATAAGAACCAGTTGTACAATATGTTTGTCACTGGACCAGAAGTACATATGTTCTCAGTGTTGGTGGTGACCACTCTGGACTAAGATCTAAAAACAAGACCTTGATTGTTATGACATAGAGCAGATATTTTAAGATACTTAAAAAAAAAAATTCCCAGACAAAAGAAAGTCAATTGAAATCAAAAACTGTTTGGTTGCCAAAATTCTTCAAAATACCTTCTTTTGTGTTTTGCAGAAGAAAGAAAGTCATACATGTTTGGGACGACATGAGGGTGAGTAAATGACAGAATTAGAACTATCCCTATAAGATATACTGGCATTGTGGAGCCAAAAATGATATTTTATTGGCTTGTGTATTTGTACATGCATAGGTTGTGGGGTTGTTGTGTTGCTCGCCACTTGTCCCCACATAACATAAAATCTATAAAAGACACATTAAAGGCAGACTGAGAGCATGCATTACCTTTTTATTATGACACTTTTCTTATGTCCATTTGTTTCTAAAATCATTGCTGAATGGTATTTAATACTAAATAATGTAATTGTAAATGAGCTGCAGCATCTTCATTAAGAGATTATTTTCATTCAATATCATTAAATAGTTTAGCAAATTAAACACACTGATAGCAGATTAAACACAAACACACCCACACACAGTTTGTCCTTTGAAAGATGCACACTGCATGCATTCAGAAGTATATTGTATTGTATTGTGTAGGTAATGGAACTCTGTTTTCTATTGCTTATTACTGAGTTAAAATATACAGTTTGCTTTGTAGTTTTACTCAACCCAATACACTTTGTAATGCCTTTTTTATTTGCTGTGACTAATTAGAGCTGATTTAGACATCTCAGATTCAATATCAATATTTGTTCTTATACAGGGTCTGTTTGTTTTCAGTTTGAGTATTGATAAAAACTGTGTGATATAAAGAATTTGGTCATTTTACTTTGAAACAAAAATATCCTCTGGAAATCTGTAAAAAAATATCATAAATTGTAAATATTCGTGTGCTATATGAGTATACATATCATTGACCACTGTCAATGGGACTCATTTAAAGCAAGAGACTGCACTCTCTGTATCAGTAATATGGAAACTAACGGCGAGACTGACAGAGTGCTCATGAATTAGCGCGCAAAGCTGCTGCACTTCTCATAGAGTAACAGCTGTCAAGAACATTACAGTGCAACAAAATCACTACATGTTTAATATAATGACGTGCGAGTGTATGGTACAATAATTATAATATTTCTTAGAAATCGATACATTTGAAAAATTGTGATGACATTTTAGTGATGATAAATGATTCGCAAGTAGCCATTCGAGCCTCGTGCCGCGCGCCTCTGCCAGATTTGCACGCTACTGTTTAACCTGACCCCGACCCTGCAGCAGTTGCATGATCAAGTCGCCCGCAAGAACTTGTCACAACTCGCAGTTTATTTCCTTGAATCTAATTAAAAACATTCCTCCGTTATTATTGCGACAGAAATGTGGTTATCTTTATGGCGCCTGGACGTTGAACTCATCACGTTGTTGTAATGATGGTCGTCAGTAGGTCTGTTTGGCGGTGAAATGGTGCGCAGTGTATTATAGGCTATACTGTTAAAATGAAACTCATTCACTACTTCTTTTGAAATTGTCGTCAGTTGGACAAAGGGTTATAATTTATGGTATATTAGCTCAAGTAATACGGAATGAATGGGTTTCCACTATTATGCGCTGACTGTAAATCACACGTGTTTCCTACTTGCACTGCTGTCATATTTTAACGGGGAAACGGAAGGCAATTGGCGTGAGCTTTTTCTGCACATCAGATGCATTCAGATATGTCCCAGAATGTGCCAGGTGACATTAACGTTATGATGTATAGGTGCAGCTACTTGCCATAAATGCACGTTGTATTGGTAAATGCTCTCTGTTCTTGTTAGACAGGATGAGTACTGGTGTTGACATGTTTCACACTCAAAGTGAGCATTCTGAAAATATACATTGGCAAAATGTGATATAATTAACGTGTTATTTTAGTATCATGTTTTGACCCCCATTTTCTCCTGCAAACCAGACCTTCTCATTGGCAGCTTATAGCAAACAGACAGCTCAGCCATTAAAGCAAGTGAAGGCAATTTTCAAGGATAATTGCGAACATGTTTTAATACATATGCATGAAAAACATTTTCTTTTTTGAGGGAGAGTCGCTCCGACTTAACGTGCTTATGCAATTGATTGAGGGGATGACCTGCTATTCCAAATGTTATTTGAGAACTATCAAAATGTGCAGACTTGCAAATTGCCCAGCTTGTATCTGAATTACTACCCCATTCATCATCATTATGGGTTGATAAGTTAATTTAACCATTTCATTCTGTCTTAATGAGCTATAGTTAAAGTAATGTCACATAATATATGAAAGCAACATTTGAACAGAAGCGTTCATTTGAGACAAACAAGGGTCGTTTCATTTGATGCATAAATCTCCTCATCACAGCCTGTGCTTCTGTTACCACTAACCTTTTCCTTTCTGCTCCTTCGGTATTCTTTAATGCTGTCAACAAAAAACAAAGCAAATAACAAAGCTTTGTTGAAGACTAGCCTAGCTGTTTAAAAGACGGCCACTGACTCAGTGTAATGAACTCAGTGTACGCCATTGTTTGGTGTATTTTCCGGTTTCAATCACGTTCACCATTTTTTTTTTTTACGCAGTCCATTTACCCAAAACCAAATTATGGCAGCATATATGGCGATCTATAACGCAGTATCATCCAGATCTAATTTATAGGGCGGTGTAGTCGTTAGCACGTCGAACTGTGAGGGTTTTAGTTCCATCTCTGCAACAACTGGATGGGATCGGGATCACCCTGCTTAGACTTCCCCGAGAATAATGAAATCTGTAGACATTTACCAAAGTCTTCTGTTTATCTGATTAAAAACTAAAACCTGTCTTTATAGCATCATTCTTGCGTGTACCTACTAATATAGCTATGGTATCATTTCACTGAAATTTTAGTGCAGGTGTTCCGTTGAGTGCACCGTTTTCTTCTCGCCAGACGTGTTTGTGAAGTTCCACCTTAAAACAACAGTCTTTTGCCCCCACGTGCTCCCTGTAGTTCGGATTTTGTCCTCCCCGCAGCAGCTGTCACCTCGCATTACTCGCAGTCAGCTAAATGAAACATTATTCTAAACATATGCATCGTAATCAGTTCGGTCACACTTACAAGAACACGCGTTAATAAGGCAATCAATCACAGTGGAACAAGCGAGTTGTTCTGCAACAACTCATAAACAGTGTGTAATGAAGAATTGGAGGTTAGCATGACACGCGCTGATCAGATAATCAATGTCAAAGATGCGATGAATGTCAGTAAATGTAGTTTTTATGTCGTTTCTATAAAATCTTCAATTTACAACAAGCAGTTCAATTACCCAGAAAATACAGTCAATTAAATGGGCGTGATTGGACAGTAGCGGGAGGATCATCGATCTTTGCATTTCTATCTTGGTGGTGGACATTTAATTTGGTTTTTCTATTAGCACCGAAATAAAGAAAAAAATATATATATATTAAACAACCTGCAGATTTATTTTCTTGTCAAAAGCAATTCGGCTAAGGTGACAGACAGTTTGCTGCATTTTATGATGAATTATTTTTTCAGTCTTTGCACATTGGATACAAAACTGATGGCGTTATTGTGGCCAGTGTTTTTCTGCCCTCTGTCTTCTCCAGTTTGCCTCTCCATCGATCTCAATGCCTTTGTTGTATGGGTTGTAACCCTCGCTTTAGTAAAGAGCATAACGAAACATGGCGATACATCACACTCTTGCTGCGCCTCTAATCCCATTTCTTTAATGGGGACGTTCAGAAAGAAAGCAACTTATCTCAAAGTCCCCCGGGAATATTCCGGTATATATTTAACCAGGCTGCAATTAACGACAGTATCAGCTTGTATCATTTAGAGGTAATGTAAAAATAATGGTAAATTATAGGGCCGGAATGACCCGTGATCGCA